TTTCAGCCCCAGAATTTGCTCGCTTTGGAGAGAAAGAGTCCAGCTGATAGCTGCCAGCAGGAGCCATCCACCAGTATCACTGTCACTACTGGCAGGTAAGCCCTTTTGGCCACACAGAACAGTTTCACAATGAAATGTCCTACTTTTCTGCAATAAATAGATGCCTTTGCCTCTGTTGTTCCTCGGGCATCAGACTGGACTGTCCAGTCTGCACTGGCATTGGTCTGCTTTCACTGAAATGATGAGGTGGAAGGAAATGGAAGGAGAGGGCATCGCTGACATGCTGGTGGTCCCGGACAGCAAACTGGAAGTGGAGATAGTCGGGACTTAGAGTTCCTTTTCTTATTTGCTTTATTTGAAAGAAGAAGGCTCATCGTTGGAAACTATTTGATCTTTTATTTGATTCAGTTCAATTCAGTTTTATTTCTTTAGTGCCAAATCACAACAACATGTCCCTCAAGGTGCTATATAGACTCTACAATCATACAGAGAGAACACAGATACCCCAACAATCATACAACCTCATATGAGCAAGCACTTTGGCGACAGTGGGAAGGAAAACTCTTTTAAAAAGAGGAGGGGGCCATCTGCTGAAATTAGTACAGTACAAAACACACACTGTGGAAGAGAGCCAGAGATTAATAACAGCTAATGATTAAATGCAGAGTGGGGTATAAACATATAGTGAATGAAAAAGGTGACTGAAGAAGAAGCAGAAACCCCGAGCAGCCCAGACAGATTATATGATAACTATAGGGGAGAATTCTGGGTCACCTGATCCAACTCTTATTATATGCTTTGTGTAGCCCAGGCAAAGAAAAAAAAAACAGGAAAACCAAGAGTTTGGGAAAAGGAAAAGCCAGCGTACTTACCTACTAGAAGTCTAGAGCCAAGTGACTGAGTGAAGGAAAGGAGTAATGTAAGTAAGACGAGTATTAGTTGGATGAAAAAAACACAACTTGTAGAGCAGGGCTGTGCAGAGATGTTTGAAGGGGTGGGTACTCAACATTAAAAAGGAGAACCAGGCTGAATAGCAACAACCCACAGATATCAATAATCAAATTTGGAATCAAACGATATCACTGTCATCAGGTGGGGATAACGCAAAGCAAACGTAGCTCATTTTTAACCTGATGGGTACAATGTTGCTGTTGAGGGGCTGCTGCTGCTCCTGCTGCTGATGGTGCTGCAGGGCAGGGCTGTG